GTTACAATAGCTTTTTAATTCTCAAAACCATGCTGAATGGACGTAGTTTAAATTTAAAATAAAACGAAAGCTGCTCATGCTTTACAATTTCAAGTATTTTGGGGAAATATTTAAAATTGCAACTGGTCTATAATCAGTCGCCAATACACTGTCGCCCTTCTGAAAAATAAGCACAACAGCCGTTTGCTTCCGTAAAGACGGAAATTTCGCTTTTAATAAACTAAGATTAGAAATGTAGCTTAAAAGATTCGTAACAAAACTGGAGATTTCACCCGGCCGATGAACTAAGATGCAGTATCGTCTGAATCACATCAGAGCCGGAAATAGCAGAAACATTTAAAAAGACGGAAGAGTAATATCGGCATTTTTTGGGATACTGACATAGGGGGAATTATTATAAATTGAACAAAAATAAGTTGGGTGACGGAATGGACATTCCTTTTAAAATAGGAATATATTTTGAAAAGTCTGTTTTGGTTATGCCTTCAGGTTATTATCCATACATTCTAACCGACGAAAACTGTCAGTATTAACGGCAAATAATAATGAGACTAAGAAAAAGTACCATAGTGGAAATCAGGGTTGGATTTGTTTTCTCTTAAAAATACTGAAATTTATTTCCTCATATGCACAATACACATTGTCACGTGTCACAATGACTACAGACGGGGTTCGTATTCGTAATTGGATTTATTAGCCATTTACAAGTCGTAACTAACATTAATCATTATACTACTGCTAATTGATAATTGTTCTGTCTTCCCCGAAGTATCTTGAATTGCGAAGAGACCAGTGGTTGTGGGTCCTCGTAGAATATCGTGTTTATATTCGTGTCTCTCCCATTTGTCTGAATATCTTCTGTTCTTTCCCACTGCACTCAATGAATGTTTCAGCTACACTACAAGTTGGGCCGCACCATAGCTCAAGCGGTTAGTCGCTGGCTTCCCACAGCGGCGGCCCGGGTTCAAACCAGGGTCTGGTGGACAAAGTGGCGCTGGGGTAGGTTTTCTCCGAGTACTTCGATTTCCCCTGCCAATCTTCATTCCACCAATTGCTCCACAATCACCCTCAGCTATCATCTGGGGCTGGTACAACAGGCCAGAAGTGGCCTCAGTACAAGGGACTTAGTCCCATCCCACTAGCAATAAAAAAATACAATGCAAGAAATCTGCGTGGTAACATCTTAGGCTTCTTGTGCTGTCTGTAGCATTAAATAAGACTGCGTGTTTATGTAGAGTGGCATGTCTGCAATATGAATATGGTTAAAAGTTTATCAAAACACCGTGTAAAAGATAGGCCAGGCTAGAGTTAGCAATACTTTCAAGGTCGATATTACAGCAGCTTAGAGTTGGCACTAAAAACATACTGCGAAGAGGTGTTAAGCCGAATTCGTAGGAAACCGTGCCACAGCTCAGGCGGTTGGTCGCTGGCTTCTCACCGCGGCATCCCGACTTCGTTCCCAGGTGATGGGATTTGTGGTGGATGAAATAGCAGTGGGGCTGGTTTTCTCCAAGTACTTCGGTTTTTCCTGTCAGTTCTTGTTCCATCAACAGCTCCATATTCATTAATCATACTGTTATCGAGGCTATAAGTCTCGTTATATTAAAACAAAACTGAGGAGCAATTCAATGCCACACACATTTGTTGCTGTTATTATCAGAGGACTTAAGGATACAGTCAGTCGGGTCCAGTACGCAACAGAAAGAGTACACACCCTTGCTAACGCACCTATCCATCTGTGCAATCCGTTCATGGCAGAAGGCACACAAGATTCCAGAGGAATCATATCCTTTCCCAACCCAAGGGAGCACTGCATGTCTACCAAGAAGAGTAAGATATTCAGCTGCAGGTCATAGCCGGGAATAGTCCCTTTAATATGTTCTTGGCAAACACAAAATGGGCTTAAAGTTGATAAGAAGGGCATTCTTATTATATGAATGTAAACTCTTGTAAGTTTTAATATTTAAATAAGAACACAAGTTTCATTCTTTTTCTTCAAATTATGGCATCGGGAAAGGGGAGTAGGTGCAATTTTATTTGTCCTGGCCCCACCTCTTCAGCCAATCACGAGCCACCACTGGTTGTTCAGCATTCATTAACCAATGATGGCCTACTGAGCAACAGTTGATTTCGTTTCCAGGCAACACAGTCAAGGTCAATCATATATGAGAAGGTATGTGCACCATCTTTGTGCTAATTTTTCTTCTTATTGTAATATTTCAAACAATTAGAAAAGCAATGCAGAAAAGAAGACTTTTTTAATTTTGCATATGGAATGGATAGATTTATACCTTCAAGCCCTGTGGCAGTGACATTATAAACTGCAGAGTCAACAGAATTTTCATTATGAACACATGATCAGTCAACATTCAGTAAATATTGTAAAGCAACTGATAATCATGTTGAGCATAGCTGCAATGAAGGATCAAGGAATTATGAGAATAATCAAATTTAATTTAAAATCAGGGACAATTAGTGGGTGGTGCTTACTAGGAGTTATCACAGAAAAATCAGAAATAAAAACCCTTGAGTCACTGATATTATCTATATAAATAAAATTGAGTAGTGCACTATTTGCAATAGAACTGTAGCAGTGACTGCAACCAAGAAAGTAAGAGGTGACATGGATTGTCTTTCAATTAATTTTATTGTAATAATCACTTGGAAAGTGGTGTGCCATTAATCCAATCAGAGTTTGGCACATTTAAACCACTTATCATAACTACTTCAAAAATTAAATTACTTAAATTTTGTTACAAATAGTTTAAATACTCTTCTGTAATCTGGAACAGAATGTTTTGCCATTAGTAAATTAACATTAGCAGGAACTTCAGCTCACATACTCTTCAGTAATTTCATGTCATATCTCCATTTGACATTATGAAATGATTTGGAAACTGCAATTTGCACTCCACCTTCACTTGCTGCACCAAATTAAAGTAGTCGCTACCAGTACAAAATACAAAGTAAGTCTGGGAAAAGATTATGACTAAAAACTGTATTATTTATCTAGGTTTCAGTACTGCAGGAAGTTTTCTAATATGAAACCACTGCATTTGATTCATAGCGCTACGACATTTTGATTAAAAAAATATAAAAATCACAATGGTTTAAAACCATTATCGCATAGGACCAGAGCTATCTCCACCCCACCCCCATCAGAACTACTGTGTCTCAAATTGGCTTAATATTTGCTAAAATAGTGGGGACCTCATATCAAGGCCATAACAAGGAGCAATTAAGTAAACATCTGATCAGACCAGTGTTATTCATAGATGGAAAACCTTTTTCATTAACTGATATATGAAATGAGACACACGCATTGAACTTTGTCTCCAGTCTAGTACAGGCCAGTGTTGCTGCATCCTGTTGCACTGTGTATTCACTTCACAGTCTCTGTGAAACTTTGTCCATATATTAAAATTCACACTTTCAAGGCCCCTACTCATGTATTTAATACTATATGTTTCGGCCTAACCCAATTGGTCATCATCAGGTGTGTATGATTGTAGATGAAAACTGTTGCTCTGTTGTATGTTGCATTTTACAAGAAATGTAAAAATGCTTATATAATATTTTATTTTTTAGATTATCATCTCGTGGTTATTTCTGTTGTATTACACACAGCACAAAGGAAGGATACTAACACACAAAAAACAGACACCAGCCCAACAACATGTGTGCAGAACAAAAGTAACCATGATAGTTACTATAGGATTCTGACGATGGTGTATAACACACTGATATGTTGGGTTTTTGGACTTTATCCATCGTACAAAAAGTCCAAAAACCCAACATATCAGTGTGTTATACACCATCGTCAGAATCCTATAGTAACTATCATGGTTACTTTTGTTCTGCACACATGTTGTTGGGCTGGTGTCTGTTTTTTGTGTGTTAGTATCCTTCCTTTGTGCTGTGTGTAATACAACAGAAATAACCACGAGATGATAATCTAAAAAATAAAATATTATATAAGCATTTTTACATTTCTTGTAAAATGCAACATACAACAGAGCAACAGTTTTCATCTACAATCATACACACCTGATGATGACCAATTGGGTTAGGCCGAAACATATAGTATTAAATACATGAGTAGGGGCCTTGAAAGTGTGAATTTTAATATATGGACAAAGTTTCACAGAGACTGTGAAGTGAATACACAGTGCAACAGGATGCAGCAACACTGGCCTGTACTAGACTGGAGACAAAGTTCAATGCGTGTGTCTCATTTCATATATCAGTTAATGAAAAAGGTTTTCCATCTATGAATAACACTGGTCTGATCAGATGTTTACTTAATTGCTCCTTGTTATGGCCTTGATATGAGGTCCCCACTATTTTAGCAAATATTAAGCCAATTTGAGACACAGTAGTTCTGATGGGGGTGGGGTGGAGATAGCTCTGGTCCTATNATAATGAGAAGAGACACTGCGCCTTAGAAGTGGGAATTTTAATATACTGACAAAGTTGTAGATACCAGTCATAATGTTTTGTTTGCTAGTGTCAAATATGATACAGCAACCGCAAAATATGAAAACATCCAAACACCTGCAACAGCTATAAGATAAATATTAGATGGCCTGTAAAATGGAGAATCCTGACATTATACACAATTATAAAAAGTAACACAGTGGAAGAAGACAAAACCCAATAATGCCATTACTTTTGGCTTTGAACTACTTTTACTCTGGTGTGTTTGTTTTCTCATTACTTTAACAATTCTACCTTCAGAGATCACAGAATAATGTGAGTTGCGATGACACTCAAAGGAAGCAGGTATCCTGAAGTTCCAGCATAGGCTGAAGGAAAATGAAGTCCAGACAGCTAGTTCCCCAGTTCAGATTTGTCCTCATGTGACGTACGAGTGACAGCCACTACACTGTGAACTACCAAGCAAAGAATTAATTATAGAAATGTCTGTACCAAACCTTCACTCAATAATTCAATATTCTCTGTGAATGCAGAAGTGAAACAGAAATGAAAAGACAGGTATCTATCTATGGCCAACTAATATTATTATTACAAATGTCAGTTTTGTACAACTTATTCTGCACATTCAACCTCCTTCAATCAATACATAAAGTACCACATTTTACAAGTTCAACTCCAGAATTCTAAATAACAGATTATTGAAGTTACAAGAAATTTCTTATAAAAGTAACATCAAGTTGTACTACTCCACAGGTTCAACAATGAGAACTACTGGAAAAACCTTAAAAAGTTAACAATGAAGCAATATCCAAGTTCTCACAAGGTCTTATTCCAAATATAACATTCTACCTTCTGCTGTCATCCACAGTCAAGGCACTGTGGCCAGTCAAACTGTCACCTCTCTTGGGAAATATTATTTTTTGTATGATAGACTGAAAAACCTGTCATATGTTATCCTTCAAAGAATATAACCAAAATTTTTTAATATTTACTACTATTTTTCCAGTTAGATGACATATCTTTAAAATTCCATGTACCTTATCCATGACAATTTTAAAGGCAATGAACAGACTAATTTCCATAAAGCAGAGTCCTTCTTCAGAAGCCAATAGTCATCTAGCCATTTGAGAAATTAAACAATTTCTTTGGAATCCAGTGGTTCATTACTATGTTTACAAGAACTTGCCACTGGGCTTTACCCTCTGCCAGATGACTCAAGCCCATATCATCACACACTGTTTCCCTAAGACCCACTTCAATGTTACTGATCCAACAATTTGAAATAAAGAATGTCAGATAGTTCAAACCTCAAAGAATTTTGTATTCATAGTTATAAAACATGAAATTAATTACTTAAGAGAAGGAAAGGATGATGAGAACATGGAACCAATCTTATTGTACCTTTCTAAAAATACAATATGGGGGTCAGTAGAAGTTACCCATGGGAAGGCCAATCCATAATACTGTACATTTGATAACACTAGCAAAGTGAATAATTAAGGAGCTGTACAGCATTCCAGGATAGGGACAACAGATTCAAGAAATTTTTATGAAATTCTGCAATTGACACCAATATACGATTCCACTAATACATCTTGTATTTCCATAGTGTTAATTTAAATTTTTTTAAGCACTGTGCATAATAACAGTGGGGTAGAATGTAATTCCAACAGTTTTATCATTTTATGAAGCCTTATAAAGCTACCTGTTATGCCCCAAATGTTATGTACAAGTAGATATGTTTTTTGGGTAAATTTGGAATAAGTGTGTCTAGACTTTAAGATTAAGAAATAGAAATAACGAAATGTACCAGTAGTGAGGTAATCGCTTTGTAATCAGAATGTTAGCACGACAGTGTAATAACGCTGACACTGAGGAAGAGGCTATATGAAGTGGGACATAAAGAACTAGGGCATTAGAAATCGCTGAGTTGGAGAGGGCGGTAGACCTGAAAGAGCCAAACCTCTTTGGATAAACAGCCAATGAATGGGCCACACCGACCCCAAATCATGTCAGGATGGGTGGGTGAATACACCCCCGGAACCCAGCGAGTCAGCAAAAAGAGGGTACATGAACTCTAGAGGAAGCGATCAAAAAAAGATTATTAATTGTCATTAGAGTGCGGCCGTAGGCTATCGCCGAGAGAAAGATGGTGATGAGTAGATACTGGTTGGTGGCGAGCGCCTGTCTCATCAGCTCAAGTAAGTGTACTTACTTCATATAAGCCATGAACCTTAAGTGTGATAATATTAAAGTGCAAACCCCAGGGAGAGAAAGTGAAAACTAGATGGACTAGGTTTACAGAGAAAGAGAGACAGAGGTATAGGATACCCAATAGCAGGGTGACAGGAGTAGAACTAAGGTGTACTACAGGATAATAACCCTCATGTAATGCGAACCGGCAAACGTCGGCAAAGTGTGTATATATTATGTATATAGCGACATAGGTGAATAGAGTAGGATAGAAATGCGCTGTGATGTTAATTGAACTTAGCCTTCCCTCAAGTGTTACCATCCTCCCTGAATGCTCCTGCATCTCCTGAATCCTTCAGGAGAATTGCAAACTCAAGCCAAGGCGGCAGATACGTCAGTGATTGTAAATTTACCTGATCCCCCCCCTTACGGCATAACAAGACGGTGGCAGCAGGACGCCTCGGTGACAGCGGCGGGATACCTCCACGCCCCCTGTCACCACGGCATAATACTACCTGATATTGGAGAAAAAATGGGAGTACAATGAGACAGTACATCAGCTATTCATAGACTTCAAGAAATCCTATGATTCAGTTAGGAGGGAAGTATTGTATAATAATCTGGCAGAGTTTGGGATACCCATGAAACTACACGTAGTTAAGCTGATTAAAATGTGTTTAAACGAAATGTAAAGTCCGTATAGGTAAACATTTGTCTGATAATGTTCCTATTCAGAATGGTCTAAAACAAGGAGATGCTTTATTGCCACTCCTTTTCAACTTTGCTTCAGAATATGCCATTAGGAAAGTCCAGGGAAACCAGGTGGGACTGAAATTAAACGGGACACATCAGCTGTTGGCCTATGCCGATGATGTGAATCTACTGGGTGATAATGTAGATACCATAAAGAAAAACACACAAACTTTAACTGACACAAGTAAAGAGGTTGGTCTAGAAGTAAACACTGAGAAAACTAAGTAAATGTTGCTGTCTTGTCACCAAAATCATGATATAAAAATAGGAAACAGATGTTTGGAAAATGTGGTACAATTCAGATATTTGGGAACAACGATAACAGATCGAAACCTGATTCCGGAGGAAATTAAGAGGTGATTGAACTCGGGTAATGCTTGCTACTATTCGGTCCAGAACCTTTTGTCTTCTCGTCTGCTGTCCAAAAACATAAAATTAGAATATACAAAAGTATAATTTTGCCTGTGGTTCTGTATGGGTGCGAAATTTGGTCTCTGACATTAAGGGAGGAACATAGACTGAGGGTGTTTGAGGACAGGGTGTCGAGGAGAATATTTGGACTGAAGAGAGATGAAGTGACAGGAGGTTGGAGAAAACTGCAAATGAGGAGCTTCATAACTTGTATTCTTCTCCAAGTATAATTAGAATGACCAAGTCAAGGAGGATGAGGTGGGCGGGGCATGTAGCATGAATGGGGGATATGAAGAGTGCGTATAGGATATTGGTGGGAAAGCCAGAAGAAAAGAGACCACTGGGAAGACCAAGGCGTAGGTGGGTGGACAATATTAAAATTAATCTTAGATAGGATGGGATGGTATCGATTGGATTGATCTTGCTCAGGATAGAGACCAGTGGAGGACTCTTGTGAACACGGCAATGAACCTTCGGGTTCCATAAAATGCTGGGAAATTCTTGAGTAGCTGCAGAATTGGCGGCTCCTCCAGAAGGGCTCAGCTCCACGGTAAGTAAGTAAGGTTCAAAGCTACCTAATATGAGCATGCATATTTATCACCGGAGAAATCAAGTTTTAAAAATTATCAGGTAATTAATGGCTTCTAACATTTAAGCAACAGTGTCTTAATATTTTTTGCAAATTTAAGCTGCCAGTGGACCGCCTCTGTGTTCTAGTGGTCAGCGTTCCTGACTACAGATCCAGAGGTCCGGGTTCGATTCCCGGCGCTACCAGACTTTTTCAGAGAAGTAGTGGGCCTGGAACGGGGTTCACTCAGCCTTGTGATGATAATTGAGGAGCTATTTCAAGGAAATAGCGGCTCCGGTCTAGAAAACTGAAATTAACTGCCGTGGGGATTGGTTGCGCTGACCACGCAACACCCTCTATTCGCAAAAGTTGGCACTACAGTTCGCCGACAAGCGGCGGTCGCTCGGTCGCGGACTAGAACCACGGAGTTTTGTTGTTGTTGTTTGTATAAGCTGCCAGTGACTCTAAAATGCAATGATCCAGAGGGCGTGTGCGCTTATAACAGGGGTGAAAAGATTCAGTCCATAATCACTTGCACAATTGACAATGGGCCCTTCTGTTACCAAACTTGTTCCACCTATTGTTCATATTTCTCAACATAATAAAATAAGGTGTGTTATTTATTTCAACAGGAGCTGCCAATATTATCCCATAAAAGAAATTTCACAACTGAAATAACTATCCTTTTAAAAGTCTAATAAAACTGTAATTCCAATATTTTCTTCTTCTAACTTGGGGGGCAGCCTTCATATTGTCACTTTTTAATTTTAATTCGCTTAGTGGGAGGTGGAGTCCAACTGGGTCCACTCAGCACAGCGGCCGCTGATTGGCCTATTGTAGCCTGCCCCTGGTGATCATGATGGAGACTTTGATGGAATGAAGATTGACAGGGGAACCGAAGTACTAGGAGAAAACCCGCCCCAGCGCCACTTTGTCCACCACAAATCCCACGTGACCAGACCTGGTATCGAACCAGGGCCACCATGGTGGGAAGCCAGCGACTAACCGCTTGAGCTATGGCACGGCCTCATATTGTCACTTGACTGAGTGACTATAAACAGGGTTTCGGTCAGTGACTGAATTTATTGGACACTGTTACACACAACTTGTGTGTGTACTTTACAAACCACTATCACATAAAGACTAGTGTTCTCAGACACAGTCTTCAGTACTCTGCTTGGTAGTGTCATCCAACAGAGGACATTCCTCTGCTTCCAGGCTCACATCCTTGCAGGCTGGCGTCCATCGCACACCAACCTCCTACTCTTCTAGTTGCCTTCTCAGGGCTCACCCATAATGGCAGCTGGTTTAGTCATATAGCATCAGCATGGACTGCACATAAGACACTGCTTCAAACAGTTACTCCACTGCTGCGTGTTATATAGCCGTTACCTAGAACTGGCTGTTTTTCTGGTTCCACAGTTCTTGCTTTGAGCAAATATGCCACAATATTTAATGCATCATCTGTCTTGATGTCCGTGTTTAATTTATGATAGTAATATTTTTTTATTAACTTGAAGAAGCACTATCTATCGCTTTTAAAGAATAGTTATTATAATTTTAAAGAATACAGTTGTGGAGTAACATCAGTATTGGCCTGGGAAAAGCCACATAAAAAAATTCACTGCTTTAAATCCCATTGCTTAAAACATTTCAATGTATACACATCAAACAAAGAAAATCTGACATGGAATAATGTGAGTATGCTGAAACAGAACAAAATTGGAATAGAAGAATAAAACTTCAAGCCAGACCTTCACCTGTATTTACACGAAAATAATGAAAGGAAGGTTTCTGAAGGTTCATATTTAAAAAGAAGATCAAGCATACAAAATACAGATGCATTATAACAGCACTTAATGCAGTCACATATACTGCACTTCCATGATTATGAACTGCTTAGATGAACATTATTTATTTGTATGCACTTACAAATATAATTAGCTAGGATATAATACATGTATTTTCATTCACAATGATGAACTCTGTCTAGATTGATGGATATTTCTCATGGCCTCCCACAGTTGTCCAGATGCAAGCTGAAATAGCATCTTCAAGTAGACAATATTGACTATCTGCATATAAGCCTCCTCAGTTGGGCCTAAGTGATAGAGCTAGTCCCTGTCTCCAGAGATAGGGTCTAGCTCTGTTGATTGGGTATAAGTGAGTAGGCTTCTACCTGAAGATAAGACAGAATCCATTCTCTGAACGGTTGTGTTTCTTGCCACTTATGATGATACCATGTAGTCTGGTGGGAGGGTACCAAATTTAGCCCTAAAGATGGGGCAGCGGGTCCTTCTGTATTGTTGGCAGCCACCTACCACATTAGATTGGGTTATAAGACACAATTTAAAAGTCTGCAAGTCTTGCAAAAAGACTGCAGAATAGGATATAAAGCTATACATTCTAAGTGGTGTCTATTAAATTAGAACTTTTATGAATTTTATTGGCTGTTGAAATAGACATCCACCCATGACTGGTGGCTGCATGATTTCATAATATTAGCAATGAAGAATTAAAATTAAGGTGTGTTCAGCTGTTTAACCCTTTCATTGCTAGGAAAAACATGTATTTCAGTATGGTCTGTGGCAGGAAATATCTGGTCTTCACTCAGTTCTTGAACATCTTGCAATGCTTTGCATGCNTGTTCAGTAAGGCACAGTATGTGTGGAAGATTTGAATTCATGGAATTCATGTGGAAGTAATGTCTGTTATCTCTTCCATTTTCTAACATTGTATGACTACATTTCTTTGACAAACACATATTTTTGGAACTGCTACACCAAAGCAGCATACCACAAAGTCTGAGATTGAGGAATTTTGTTAGTAAGATGATTTTCCTGAAAAAAGGTATCTAGTTTAACAGACACAGCGATGAAGACAGTGAAATAAAATTAGAAACTAAATGGGAACATTGTATGACTACATTTCTTTGACAAACACATATTTTTGGAACTGCTACACCAAAGCAGCATACCACAAAGTCTGAGATTGAGGAATTTTGTTAGTAAGATGATTTTCCTGAAAAAAGGTATCTAGTTTAACAGACACAGCGATGAAGACAGTGAAATAAAATTAGAAACTAAATGGGAACATTGTATGACTACATTTCTTTGACAAACACATATTTTTGGAACTGCTACACCAAAGCAGCATACCACAAAGTCTGAGATTGAGGAATTTTGTTAGTAAGATGATTTTCCTGAAAAAAGGTATCTAGTTTAACAGACACAGCGATGAAGACAGTGAAATAAAATTAGAAACTAAATGGGAACATTGTATGACTACATTTCTTTGACAAACACATATTTTTGGAACTGCTACACCAAAGCAGCATACCACAAAGTCTGAGATTGAGGAATTTTGTTAGTAAGATGATTTTCCTGAAAAAAGGTATCTAGTTTAACAGACACAGCGATGAAGACAGTGAAATAAAATTAGAAACTAAATGGGATGTTAATTGCAAACATTAATCTACAGATAGCCATGCACCACAGCACTGATTAGGGGAAGAATATCTTTATGAGAGACATTCTGAACTGTTACGCATCTTAAGAGAAAATAAGCAGTAGACGTCCATAAAGTGTAACTAGTTTAACAAGAATAAGTACAAGTTTTGCCTTTACATATTTCAGCAAGGCATAGCCAACACTATGACGGAAGTATTGTAAAGTTGTTGTTTTCTGAACATATGTTGTTACTATAGCAGCCTAAAGGGCCTTATAATAGTTATGCAAATTTAAGAGTAAATAGTTAATAAAGATAAATTAAGTTGTGTATATAAGAAGGAAATGGTTAAAATCAGTTAAAGTA